TTGATCTAAACCACAGTCGTAAAATAAAATCTGTAACTAGTTTATTTTTCATGTATTTTTCTAAGAAAAAAAAAAATCTAGATTGTTGTTGTTGTTCTGATTATCTATTACTGTGTTGTTAATAGCCCAAAACAGTGGCTGGAACCAACAGCACCATTTACTTTGTTCACGAATCCAGCACTTCGCTGGGTTCAGCTAGTCAGGTCTCCCCTGATGGGTCTCCCATGCGACAGTGGCGCAGGGTCTCGTTTCAGGCATGGGGTTATCTTGATGACTTCAACACCTGAGTAGCTGGTACAGAGCTGGGAAGGTGCAAACAATGGGTGCCACAACAGCTGGGCTTACTGGCTGGTCCTCACTTCTTCCTATATAGGGTTTGTCCACCTGCTACCTCCTTGTAGTGACCTCAGCATAATTGTTTTTTTGTTTTATTTTGCTTTGTTTTTTAATATGATGGCTGATGATTTACAGAGCAAGTGTCTCAAGAAAGACTGGCAGAAGCTGCATGCGTTTTTATCCAAAGTCACATCGCATTCCTACTCGTACATTCTGTTTTACCAGGCAGTCACAATGTCCTGTTCAGGTTCTAGGAGAGCTGACATAAGCCCCCTCACTTCTTGAACTGGTGAGTGTCAAAGAACTTGCAGGCATAGTCCACCTACTTTCCATAAAGTACCTTTTTTACACGCAAAGTATATCCACTGTATTCAAACCCCCCCAAATATCTCATATATATAGCCTCAGACTCAGGCCCAAGTGTAGCACCTTGTCTAAATCAGATTTGGGCAGAGACGAGGCTCTATGGGTATTGCTCTTTCAGTACTGCCTCAGTCTGAAGACCTGTGAACTGAAGAGACAACCTATCTCCCCACCACACAGCCATCATATACCAGTGGGTCAGCTGTGGGATGATTGCTCTATACCCTCTCATTCAAAATATTGCGTTGACCATAAAGTTCATTCGGGTTTTTCACAATACAGAAGAACCCAAACAAGCTTTTTGGCCAACCAATAAATCAAATGGAAGCCAGAGTCACTGATTCATAGCATTTCTGAAATCCAGCTGGGTTCCTGTTGCCAGTGTATTCATAATGGCTTAGTCTTATTGCCTAGAAATGTTTTTCCACAATACTTGAATTTGCTTTCTGGGTCCTGATTTTGGTTTCTGAGTTGGCCTCTTTTTTTTTTTTTTTTTAAAGAAATTGTGTTTGCATCTGAACATTTTCTCAGCCTGATTCTAGTCCATAGAAATTCTGGAGTCTAAGTCTTATAATTTTATACTGCCTCTGTCCTTTCAGTCTCATCCGGGTAAATTTTCTTTAAAATTATGTGAGATTTGTGTGTGTGTGTGTGTGTGTGTGTGTGTGTGTGTGTGTGAATTGATTTTCCAATTAGAGAAAATATACTATCACAGATTTATATTGGGAAAGGTCATTTCTATCTTAGAATATATTGGCAGACATTACTGAAAAGACTTTAGGTCACAAACAATGACATAATGACTCTGCTTCTATCATATCTCAGCTTTGCATTACTCTGTTTCTTTAGAGAAGCAATCAGGAACAAAGGCAGTGACCTAACTTGGATTATTCACACACCCTAAACCTATCTGTCTGACTAACAACACAGTGAACTTTAATTATATATGAGACCCGAATAATATGTTTCTCATTCCATTCTTGGAATTATGAAGGGATGCAATCTGGGCCTTCACCTATTAACAAACATGGAATGAACACAGTTATTTTACTGGAAGAGATATGGTGTTCCTATGAAAAATGTGGGTTCACCATATTTCTGTATATGCTGACAATAAGCACATTCTGATTTTTGAGAATATGGAGACATATATACTGCATTGAGGTTTACTTCATATTCCACATCTTTACAACAATTTATACATTGATAGCCTCATCACATAGTGTTTACCCATTAATTTATATAATGCTTGACTGAGAAATTTGGCTTCTGTCATTCTTTGAATTTTGAGAATATCACAAAACTAATGTTGCAATGCTTATCACTGCTTTTTAGAAATCCATAATTAAATACTTCAAATATTATTATAATCTCTTACAATTCTCTAGAGAATAAAAAAGTAAAATATAACTAACAACTGCAATTAAGTTCCCTGGTAAAAATGCAAAAAGTGTATAATTCAAGTTCTCATCTCTGAAAGTATTTCTGAAATTGCATGTCTGCTAACTGTGTATATGTATGTCTTAACTGATTGAGGTAAAGATTAAAAGAGAATACAAAAGGAAGTCAAGAACCTTTGGAGTTTTAGGTAGTTGAGGCCTCTATGTAAGTATATGTAAGCTTTTCCTCTGCCTGGTGATGTACTTGTTCTACAAGGTGCATTGTAGATTCGTAAATTTGACTTTTATAAGATGCTGAAAAAATCCAAGTCTCAACAAAAATAAATATTCATAGGTTTCATCATGTATATGATTTTTGAAAATGTGAAATATTTCTATTATGTTTCAAAATACACACTTTGGTATTAATTACAATTTAAAATGGTTAATGGAAAATTAGCATCTGAATTCTTCATTATTGTCTTAAAGTCATGAATTCATTATATGTGAAGTGCAACAATCTTTATGACCTCTTCAACACCACTGACCTTTCTCAAATTCTGAAGCCCTATGAAGTTGAATTTTAAAAGACTTAAAGACATCCTAATAATATTCTGAAATTAATCTTTATTTATTAATGTGTTACAGAACTAGGTGAATCTAAAGCTTTAAGTTTGTTTCTATCACTTCCAGAGCTACCTTTTGTGGCCTCTACTTTCTCTGGTCTAATATCTTATGGGGAGTATTTAAGCAGTCATTTTACACATAAATTTTATATATAGATTTATATATGCATATAAAAATTTTAATAATTATTATAATAATGACCCAAACTTTTCTACCTTATATGCAGTAACAATAGTCACAAAATATTTATGTGACTTCAGAAAGAAAATATCCATGTGCTCATTTGTAAAAACAGAAATGTTCTTGGTGAAATGTCATTTTAATAACATGAATTTATATTCACATAAATTACTTCTAAATTACTTAAAATTTTAAAATAGACATTGACTTTAAAAGGATCTCTGATAGTCATTACTAAAGACGAATGACATAAAAGTCAAATTTCATTAATCTTGTGACGTTATCTAGAACTTTACGTTATTGTATACTGTGCAAAGAGATTGAAACTGAGGAATCTAGAGTATATAATAATTTTTCTTTTTTTCCGCATTTTTTAATGAATAAGAGAGTATGTGAAAATTAATCATTACTTAATTGTTTCTCCATTGGTTCTTACCAGTTTTCCGAATCCCTGGAAATTACACAATATGGATATAAGTGGGAATGATTTTGAGCTAAATAATATGACAAAAGATTCCACAGGAAATCTGATAGACACAGGGATTAAAATCCCCAACGCCCTTCTTATCCAGTATACCCCTGTGCAACAGCCACACCTGTGTCCAAAATATTTTGAACAAATATTATAACTTTCTAATAAGATGGTGAAGAATGCCATCTCAAACAACTTCCTTTCTAAAATTAAAACAGATTCTAGTTGCATCAAATGCATAAAATATCTGTTTTTTTCCCTACATGTTTAGGAATTAACCCTTTATTTTACTTCTATGAAGAAATATGATAGAAATCATCTGAATAGTTAAGAAAACATATAATCATACTCCAAAACTTTCATAGAAGAACATCAGTATCTAAAGATTACAGATTCCTTCTAACAATACAAGAGAATATATAGTTTTAGTTCATCTCAAATTTCTAAATAATCATAACAGAAACATAATTTATCACTTGACAAAAGGCGGTTTGAAATATCTAAAATCTGAGTGATATCATCTAATGATATAACTATACTTTAAAAATTATAAACTCAATATATTAAATTAGATCATGAGGAAGTAATATGAAACCACATCAACTTTATTTTCTATAGCAACATTTTCATTAAGATACTAACAAGAGAAAACTAAGATAGTACATCAATTTTCAAGGAGCAGATCAGACAAAGATCTAAAAATATAAAGTACCCATCTGAATAAAATTTCTGTGTAAATTTATGTTTGACAGCTTGAGTTTGACTAGTACATTTTATGTGCCTGAACTGCTTCTGGATTCACTGGCATGAAGAAATGCGTTTGTCCACATTAAACAAAATACTTGGTTTCTTTTACTAGACAAAGGGAACAACAGAATTTAAATATTTTCTCTCATTTTTCCTATAGATTCTAGCAACACAACCTTGTCAAAAGCTTGACTATAATCAATCATTAATCCAGGTGTTTGTTTATATAAACACAAGTGTATGTATGTGTACATGCATACATGTATCTATGTATGTGCACTAAGAAAATTAAGATTGCCTATAATTCAATCTCCTGGAGTTGGTCATTTTTACTATGTGGATCTACAAATAGACATACACATTATTCTGCTTTCACTGTTTAATGTGTGTAATATATATTGTCAAATCTTATTTAATAACAAATAAAATTTATAGATATATAAAGAAACAAATATCACTTTGCATTGGTGCCTTTATCTAATTATTGATGATTTGAAATTAATTTGAAATGGTAAAAGTAGAGTTAAGAAGGTGTAAAATTCAAAATATTATAGCAAAAATATTCTTAAATCAAACTATTTGAATATTCACAATAGAATATAGCTGTCTTAAAAATATGTATTCCTTTGGAATAAAATCCTAAGTCCTGCCTGTGGAAATTATAATGTGAGTTATATCTTAACACACTTTGAGTCAAAAATATTGAAAGGCTCCACTGCAATCACATCTCCAAATTCACTTTTCTTCATTTCACTTTTCATGAACCTTTGAGCCTTATTTTTATCTTTGATAGGGTTAAATCCAAGTCGTTAACACTTCAGTAGACTAAGTCCCTAAAATAAAGTCTCAACATACAAAATGTGATTCACAGTTTCAGAATAGTACATAGTACTTACCCATCCAAGAAGGATATAACAGAAGCTGAGAAGCTGTCAAAGAGAAAAATGTCAGAAAGATTAATAAATCATATTGCTATAACATGATGATGCGAATTGCAAACAGCTATGTAAAAATAGGTAGCTAGCAGTCAGATGGCTTGGCTTCTTTTAGCCTTGGTAGTAGTACATTTATCTTCTGTTATGCACTGGTAAGTAGCTGGCAAGCTTGGTATATATAAACATTACTGAAAGATGTTATGATTGGCTTGGATCCAGAAAATATGCTCTAACATTACCATTAGCTATCAGAGATCTTAAATATCACTGGAAATGATGGAACAGGCAAAAAAAGACAATAACAGGAAGGAAAATTAAGAGTATAATTAGGAATAAAATGTCTTTTCAACATTTTATGACATATGACATAAGTCTTATGCCACTTGATAACATAAGAATTTTAAAATAATTTAATAAAATCTAAATGTTCATGTGGTTCATAAGAAAAAAAGTGATTGAGCACATTGCTATGCAAGGGAAAGAAATATCTAAAACAAGGGATTATTGAATATGATTTTTTACTCTTTTATAGTTTTAATGTTTCTCAGAAATAGAAATTAACCTTCCTAATGTCTTTTCCCTGTTGTATATGAAAGGCACTATACTGTTATTTCACTGTCAATTATCTGTGACCCTATATAAAAAATAGCACAACAAAACTAAATAAAGAACCAAAAATATAATTTAAAAAATTAATTGTCAATCTCCAGGCAATGAAACAGAAGCTTTTGAGAAATTCAGACAATAACTTAGTTGTGATGTATTTCATTTGGTTTGGTGATTTAACAATGATTGCAGACTTAGGGCAGTTTATTAATCAATAAATTCAATTGAAATAAAATTAGCCATATATGTAAAATAAGACACAAATTAAATGTCTATAAAGAATGAGATGTTTTTATAAGTACCATAATGAGGGATTTTTAAACATTTTAGTCCATTAATATAATTCTACCTTGTATTGCCTAAATTGATAGCTCTTATTCATTAAACACATATTTTAAACATAGTCAAGAAGAAAATTAAGGTTGTGCATAATCATATCTCCTGGAGATATGTGGAGATATCCACATAGTAACATTAATATGTGGATTCACATGCATCTGTTCTTTTTCCCATGTTTTATTATAAGAAATCAAAACAAAACTGCACTTACCAAAATAACATATGTAGATATAAAAATGAATGTTCACTATGAACCCACTTAAGAAAGGAATATTGTTTTCTGTATTTTTTCAGATTTTTCCATGTATATACTAACATATTTTAACATTATTCTCTCATATTCAAATACATTTATATATATGGCTATAAGTATAAAACGCACTATTTTCTAACTCACCTTCTGTCATAACATTGTATCTTAAATATCTTTCAATATCAGTTAAAACACATACAATTATTTAGTGATTATATACTTGTAATGAAAGAGTAAAAATGATTAATTCACATATGGAATTTTGAAACTAGAATATTTCTGCAATTAACAAGAATTGATTATTACATTAGCTTGTATAGCTAAAACAAGACTTAACTGGTTTTGCAGGAAAACAAGGCCTTAAGAAGAATTTGTCAGGTGTGATTTGTAATCACAGATATTATCATTAAGAAAATAATATTGTGTAAGTAAGGAAGTAAAGGACTTACTCAGCAGAAGGCAGGTCTAACAGGTTTGATTCTGAATAGAATACAGCTGAAAAATGAATATTAGGAGATTAATTCTAAAGTAGATTTTCTTAAACTGATGCTGAAAACTTCAAGAAATCACTTGCCAAAGTTGAACGAGTGTCAGAGCATTTGAAACACAGGAGTCATCCCAACATTGTTGAATTTACATTTCAACTACCATTTTTGCTATTTATTGAAATAACTAAAATCTGTGTTAAAATGATCCTCTATTAAAAGGACTCAATAAGATGACATTCATTTGAAAAAGAGATTTTTAATCTCATAATAGGGGCTTCCCTGGTGGCTCAGATGGTAAAGAATTTGCCTGATTGGCAACCCACTCTAGTATTCTTGCCTAGAAAATTCCATGGAATGAGGAGCCTGGTGGGCTACAGTCAAAGGGGTCACAAAGAGTCGGACATGACTGATCAATTAACACTTTCACTTTCAATCTCATAATGAAGCCTTGAAAACATGTGATACATCACTTTCACCTATTTAACATTCATGAAATCATTACCCAAAATGTCAGCAGAGATCTGCATTAGTTTTTCCCCCGTGTTCTTTTTTTTCTTTGTAATTTAAAATATTCACTGTATACATACTTCAATAGCTGGTTGTTTTACTGTTGTTCCTAACAGCACCTTTAGAAATGATATGCTTTTGCTGTTCAACTAAAATTCATAGAAATAAATTACCTCTCGATTTTTTTAGATTAATCATGGAAGTCTTTGTTAAATCTCAGATGATTGAAAAATAAATCGCATGTGCCTCAAATATTCTTTGAACCACAAGCATTGCAAATTGACATTACAGTGTGGATTTTTCATCTTGACAGCTTATCATAGAAGCCAAGTTGCCCCAGATTTTCTTTCTTTAAAGAACAGGTTAAATCTTGTCAAACATAAAGAATGAAACATAAGACTTGTTTATTGCTGTAAAGGAATCAACCTGTGGATCAGATTCTATATGAGATTTATTCCAATTGCAACTGGATAGCTTGAAAATTTGAGCCATTAAAATTAGTGGTAATTTTGCTCTTTTCAGGAACCAAGATAAAGGAATTTTATTCAAAGAAACAATTGCACTTTGGCATGTTCTAAGTGTGGAAAAACAAATACAACACACAGAAGAGGACACTCATATATAGTCTTTTCAGGGCACAGATACAAAACATATTTTCTAGCGTTATTCGATTAACCATGAATGTTTTTGCAAATAAAAATCTCAGTGTTATACTCGTTTTGTAAACACAGTAGTAAAATAAAACGAATCAACCCAAATATATGCTAAAATACTTAGTCTAAGGAATAGTATCACCTTGTAAATATATGCTGTGTTGCCATAACAAAAGTAGGATGAGCATTTATATTTTCCTGTGCATGCTTGTATGCTAACTTGTTTCAGTCATGTCCAACTCTTTGTGACCCTATGGCTGTAGTATGCAAGGCTCCTCTGTCCATGGGATTCTCCAGGCAAGAATATTGGAGTGGGTTGCCATGCCCTCCTCCAGGGTTCTTCCCAACCCAGGAAACGAACCCAGGTCTCCCACATTGCAGGTGGATTCTTTACTGTCTAATCTAATAGTGACCCAGTAATCTTAATCAGCTAGGTAATGTTAATTTTTCAACTTTACCTCCTGCAGTTCTCCTATATAAATTCTCTACCTTAGAAAACTAGCCCTTTCACCATTACCGGGTTTTAAATTTTTTGAAATCCTCAGCACATAGACACTGAATCTTCTTCTGTTTTTGAATAACCCATTTCTATCTTTTCCTGTGATTGTCTTATTCATCATTATACAAGTAGAACTTTTTTTCCTTTTTTTCATTTTCATTGTAAGCATCCATTCCTTTTCTCTAGTACAAAACCACCATAAACTTTCTGGGGACATGTTGCCATAACAAAAGTAGCATTTATATTAAAGTAGCATTTATATTCTCCCGTGCATGCATGCCAAGTCATTTCAGTCATGTCCATTCTTTGTGGCACTATGGACAATTGTCCACCAGGTTCCTCTGTCCATGGGATCTCCAGGCAAGAATACTGGACTGGGCTGCCGTGCCCTCTTCCAGGGAATCTTCCTTACCCAGGAATGAAATCCATGTTTTCTACATCTCCTGCATTAGCAGGTGGATTATTTACCCCTACCTGGGAAGTCCATATTCTCCTGTAAAATGTATACAGAGTCAGAGAAAAAGACAAGGACTTCATGCTGTTGCAGAATGTGTATATTCCAGTAAAGGCAAGTTTCATTAAAATATTATGCTTTCAGCATGGGAGTTAGGCCATGTGCCATGATCAGAAAATATCTTGTGGACAGGGGATTAAATAGCATATCATAAATATAGTAAAAGTGAGACAGATGCTAAATTAGGGATTATGATCATGATCCTCCTCTTTCTTTTCTAAAGTACTTTTGTTATACCAGATAATATTTAGTAAACTATTGCTATATAATGTTTATCTGGAGAATAAATGCTATACTTAATCTCCAGAGAAGTTCATCTTATTTCATCCTCCACAGCAATGCTACAAAGTAATTTTTATTCATTTTTACTCTAGATGTGAGAAAACTGAGGCCTAGAGAGAAAGTGGTCTGCCTTTGGTCCACTATCTAGTAAGTGTCAGTCAGAAATAAATTGAGATTATCTGACTCCAGTGACTGTTCTTTTGATTTCTAGATAGATGGCCATGATAACCTGTTTGGTAGTAGTTTTAGAATTACTATAGAATTTTCATGTTTATGATCTCATTTCCCACTTATAACCATTATATTCAATCTAGAGGGTGGTCATTGTTTTATATAACAGAAACACTAAAGTACATTTTTTTTTAAATAGCAATTTTAGGATTGGGTTCAGAGTTTATAAGATCAGTTAAGGCCCCTATTGCAAACTGTATCACTCAATCGGGCTTTTTTGTACTGCCATGCAAATGATCACCCTCCTCAAAGAACACACCCAAATAAATCACTTGCATGCAAGTGTATATGTCAGAGTTTGTTTCTAGGGACCCTGATCTAAAAGAATAGTTTTAATATCAAACCATTCTCTTGAGTCCTTTGTTAAGTCTTCTCAGTCTGTTTTTTTAACATTTTCCTGCTAATTTGTTTTTCTCAGTACTCTCTGCATCCCATAAAGCATATCCCTTTTATATGTTCGGTTTTGATATCTGTCTAATTTCTGAGCCTTCCCTGGTGGCTCAGAAGGTAAAGAATCTGCTTGCCATACAGGAGACCTGGGTTGGATCCCTGGGTTGAGAAGATTCCCTGGAGAGGGGAATGGCAACCCACTCCAGTGTTCTTGCCTGGAGAACCCCCATGGACAGAGGAGCCTGGCGGGCTATAGTCCATGGGGTTGCAAAGCATCAGACATGACTGAGCAACTAAGACACACACAGTTTCTGGAGGCTCTAGCTTGCGATGCCTTGTTTCTTTGGGTATTTTGTTTTTATTATAAATTTATATTTCTTAAAATTTTATTTGTGATAATTATTTGTGGCTTAGACTGAAAACAGTTTATTTCAAAGAAAATTTACAATTGTTTCCGTCAGGTGACTGGGGGCTATACCAACCTACGGCCACTTTACAGTATAGCATTGAAGTTTTTCACATTCCATAATTCAGGCTACAGTCCAATATTAGGATTGTTTTCAACTAGAATGATCATTTTTCCCTGTCATTCAGCACTATTACTAGAATTCAAGACAGAAATAACGTCTTGTTAACACTATCCAGAAATGTACATTTATATATATTTTACACTTAAGGGACTGGCCAATTTGGTGGATTCTAGCTTTATACTCTTTCAGCCTTCCTAGTTTAAGCAACTACTGTATTTATCTCTCTGTTCTCCGTGTTCTGTAAATCTATGAAAATTAAACTCAAATTCACTAAAGTTTGCAATTGCTCTCAAAATGGAAGTTAGCATTCTACTTACCACTTTTCTCTTTTCATTTAGTTTTGCCTTAGAGTATGCTTTACTTTCCACTTAGCTCATCAACACATCAAAATGTGTTAATCTACTCAGTATTTATAATATTAATATTTTCCCCAAGCCAAAGAGATATGCATATTACCCTTTCCGCCATGCTACAGAATTGTAAGTCTCTTCCTCTAATCTTCATAAAATATCTTGACTTTTAACATGTGGTCCTTTTCCCCAAAAAGAGCAAGCTGGGATAAAGTGAAAAAAGAAACCTAAATGTAGAGATGGTGAATTCCTGGGTTCTGTTTTAATGATATCTTACTGATAAAACAGACAAAGAGTTGGAGGAATAAAAAGAGTAAATCCCTCTTTCTCTTTATTAGAATAAAAAGAATACTTATTTGCTTTGGCACAGAGAAACACTGAACAATGTATTGAACAGAAGCATTTACACTCTGGTTCAGGCCTAAAGGGAAGTTTTATGACTCTCTTTTCTGCTCTTAAATCAATACAAAGCAAAAGGGATATTTACAGAAAGCACTAAATTGTTTGACGTTCCAGGAGTAAAGAATGCATTCACTCTTAAGCTTTTCTGAAATAATGTGAGAAGAAATACAATTTTAGGATTCCCTAGTAACACAGTGAAAATAGGAGTAAGAGGGTTGAGAGGTTTCTTTGCTGCTAGAGAAGGAGAAGGCATGAGACAGCTACAGCAAGTCTCCTGTGGTCCCTGAGCGAAAAGAGAAAACAACAGGATTTCCTCTGTCACTGATAACAAGACACTTGGCTGAGAAAGAGGAAACAGACAGATGTTGAAGGGATCTGTGGTCATGATGAGAGTAAATTATAACAAAGAGCAGTGCAGGATGTATGTCAAGAAACCAGGTGGGAATAGAGAAACCTCAACAGATGCCAACGTGGTGGGGAGAGGGGCCTTGATTGTACATTGCCACAGATGTCAGTGTAGGACAAAGGAAAGCTGAAGCCCAGATGCCTCACCATCTGATATTGTATTATGAAAACTTTTCAGAAATTAAACCTATCCAGGATGAAAGGAAGGAGGGGGAGGAACAACTCTGATTTGACTGAATTAAAA